CCCTATACACCCCTCCCCCAACCCCCCCATCCCCAAAAAATTCTCAGCGGATTTGGGCTGTACTCAGCAAGCGCAGTACAGCTTCCAACTCAGATCTGAAAAAAAATTAGTGGATGGTTGTTTTCTGACTGGTCGGCAGACCGCCGACCGGTCGGCCCTACTGGTCGGCTGCAATAAGGTCGGCGGTCGGGGTCGGCAGTCGGCAGGGATGCAACCATGTATGTACTTATTTTTTAGCCCGGCTGGGCAAGTGGTCCCGGGCCAGTCTGGTAGCCTCTCCGGTCAGGCCGAGCGGCAGTGGTCGGGGCCGTCACTACGCTGCCATGCTGTGCCTCTAGTGCCAGCGGCATGTCTGGAGTGTATTTTTTGGCTGTGACAGACCTTTCTTTGTTTCATGGGTGTTTTGCTGGCTTGTGATGGGGTGTGAACCGACAGTCTGTAGAGTTTTCCATCTGGTGTGGGTGAGTGATAGTCCACTTTGATTTTCGTCACAGGTACCTTGAGGGCAGTGGTTGGTGCCCACCTCAGGGTATCAGTTGTCGGGCAGTCGTTGATGCTTAACCACATCCGGGGTTAAGGTGGATTATCACTTACAGTGTAATCAGCTAGGGTATTCTGCAGACTGTTGAGGGTTCAGCCTCCTGATGAGTCGGTGAAACTCCGGCGAAACAGATTGTCACACCCCTTCGTTTGTTCTCCTCTTCTCCCTCTCTGCCTACGGTTTACCAGGCAGCTCTGTTTGATGATAACCCCTCGTTTGTTGTCCTCTTCTCCCTCTCTACCTACGGTTTACCGGGCAGCTCTGTTTGATGATATAATCCCCTAACTGATTACACTGTAAGTGATAATCCACCTTAACCCCGGTTGTGGTTAAGCATCAAAGACTGACCGACAACTGATACCCTGAGGTGGCCACCAACCACTGCCCTCAAGGTACCTGTGACGAGGGGCAGCTCGCGCTCAACTTCATCAACGTGGCGAGCCTTGTACGTTAGAGGCACGGTGGAGGAGGCGTTAAGAAGACTGAGAAACTGAATGATTTTCAATGTGTCTTTTTTTTTTTTTTTTTTTTTTAGCCCTTGTTCAGTGTAAAGGTTTTTGTAAAATACTGAGAAATAAGAATACAGTGAAACAAAGAATAAGAGGACACTGGTTTGTGTCAATCTGGTTTGTCTGTCTCTTTGCCTGTCTGTCCTTTCATTTTTCTTTTCTTCGCTCATCTAATTTCTTCTTCTACTTCACGTGCTTACGCTCTTAGTCAATAGTTCTGTGACAATATATACCATTCAGAATTTCAGGCACAGCTACAAGTGTAAGGCTGTAAACCATTCAGCCACAGTTTTTCGGGTGTAAAATATTGAACTCGTTAGTAGTCTTTACTGTTGGTAAACAGTTTTGCTCAGGGCTGATGACGTCAACATGGGTTTTGCAGGTTATGTTGGTGGCGCATTATTGACATTTCTCCAGGGTATTTTCGACAAGTGCGACTGCAGGTGGCAGCAGAGGGATCCCTGCCAGCAAAGCCCTGAGCTGAGTCTTGGTAGGATACAGTGGCCACATCTGCGGAAGGCGAAACAAGGAGAGTGTCACTTGACCCAGGATGCGAACTATGAGGTCCTTCTAAGTGACAACATGGTCCCGGGCTGCAATAATGCAGCGACTGAGAGTACATCAGGTGGCAGGTGGGGGAGGGATTGCGGCTATCGTACCTAGTGGTGATCGGTGTCGACTGGACTGGAAGGGGGAGGAAGGGCTGTGAATCTTGCTGGCCGTGGTGATGGTGGAAAGGAGATGGGTGAGAGTGGGGTGGGTTGCAAGCGTTGACCAGGGAGGTGGTAGCAAAAGAGGGAGCCACCGGCAGACGGTGAAAACAGTTTTCTTTCTCATCTTAAACCAGCAGTACTGTTGCGGAGGTGCAGCTGTGAACGTTGCGCCTTTTCAGGGATGTACGGGCCTTCCTGCACCTGGTTGACTTCAAGTGCATTCAGAGGCCCACAGAGGACGAAGGAAGGAAGGGTCCCAAGTATTGGTGGTTCCAGTGGTGTTAAGCTGTTCATTCAACTTTATTGCAAACATTTTAAGAAAAAAAAAAAAGGTCGAGAAATGTGAGCTGCGATAATTTCACTTATAAGAGAGTCATCATGCGAAATGTCGGATCAACGTAGTCCGTTGTTTGCGTATTATTGTTTTCTCTCTCTGACTGTTTCCAAAAAAAGTCCGTACGTCAGCGACATATGAACTACAGTGAGAGTGCACACGGCTGGCTGCTACGGGAACCAAAAAGAACCGGGGGGGGGGGAACCCTTCTGCTGTCAGGACGAGTCCGACATCTGTGGCAGAGCACAAAGAGGCCCCTGCGTCAGGTTGACGAAGACAATGAAGGACTTGGCAGGTGTCGATTGGGTAGAGGTTAGGGCGCGAGATCGGATGCGAGAGAGTGGGCAGCCATCTTCTCCAACGGGTCGGAAACCACCGCGAAAGAAAAGGAGCGATCAATGGTATCCTGTGTGGGCATGGTTGGAATCGCGACCTCCTGAGCAATCAAAAACGATCCTGGCGTCCGACATCGACGAATGGCTTCTGAATAATCCAGAGATAACGGAGGAACTCCTTAAACAACATCCACGGAAGTATCTGCACAATTATATCAGGAAATGCTTTCACGCCGTTCGGCGAAAAAGTGAAAACAAATGTGGGGAGCCACCAAAGGCACCAGCAGCGCCTGTTTCACTTGGACTAGATGCTAGGCGCACACAAGAGGTACGACTGTTGTGCTCTTCGGACTTGTACACATGGATGGATCTCTCTGTCGTTTCCTCTTCTGTTTCCTCGTCCCTTTTAGGAAGTTTTAGCAAAGAATAAAGTTTACTGCGATCTTACGTTGTCAGTTTTTGCCGCTGTCCTTTCTTGTACCTCGTGGGTGGTAATAATCTCCATTTGGCTGTGCACTGTGCTCTGATAACACATTCACTGATGACGTCAACATGGGTTTTGCAGGTGCTGAGAGTGTGTCAATGGTGTGTGCCTGGTGGAGATTGTCAGATTGTCAGATTCTGTTGATCTGAACCGTTCCACCGTTGACATGGAGCAAGGGTGTCCTGCTTGATAAGAAAGTTGAAGTACAGCCATTGAAAATAGAGCGAATTCACTATGTTCGCTATGCGGACGACTTCCTGATTGGAGTCATCGGACCTAGAGCACTATAGCCGATAGAATACGAAGTCTAGTGGCACAATTTCTCGAAGTAAGGCTTAGCCTTTGGCTCTTCTTTTCAAAGACGTTCATAACTCGATGAGCTAAACGCTCCCACGGGGCGGCTTTTCTCGGGTTTCTTATCAGCTCCTCCAGGCTCTCCCACTTCATGGCCTTCGAATATCGACGAACATACAATGGGATACGTCAAATTGTACGCGTTTCACGAGCAGGTCACGTCGAATTGTACGCGTTCAACGAGCAGGTCACGTCGACTTGTACGCGTTCAACGAGCAGGTCACGTCGACTTGTACGCGTTCAACGAGCAGGTCATGTCACTTTACTCGTTGATATGCGGAAAGTGATTCACTGCCTGGCAGCTTTAGGTTTAAAGTCAAAACAAAAAGTGGAACGAAAATAAAAAAGTGGAGTGCTAAACAACTGCAGCAACTGGGGGAAAGAGTAAATCATTAGAAAGCAAAACAATTGGAGTGGGATTCTGTGGGAAACAACAAAGGAACCAGGCGGGGCGGGGGGGAGCAAAAAGGTGGCTGATGCGGGACCTGAGCTCGAGTCCTTATTTTTTGTTTGCCATATCAACCATCTGAATAGTATGGGAAATTTGCAGAGCTGCGACACCTTGACAGTATACAAGGTTGGTGTGGTAGTTTTGGATGCTTAGGGATGGGGTTCTGGGATAGATAGACTTATTCGTGGGGGAGGTGGGAGCGGAGTTGATTGACCAGGGTTTGAGTTGAGTTAAGAGGTACCATGTCTTGCTTGTTGCACAAGGGCTCGAGCTGACGTTAAAATAAAAAGGTTGTATATGTGTTCCCGAGTTCCACAAATAGCATCTTTCGGGCAATGATGCATGTGGTCTTGATGCGGTCAACGTAATTTATAGCCATGACCTGTGATGCGAGAGGAGGATTGTAACGTGCAATATGCATTTTCTTGAGATGGGTCACTGAAGACACCCCTTTGTGATACCTTCGTGCACGCATTGATGTGTGTGTGTGTGTGTGTGTGTGTGTGTGTGTGTGTGTGTGTGTGTGTGTGTGTGTGTGTGTGTGTGACACACACACACACACACACACACACACACACACA